TACTGCAATCATTCCCTCCACTACTATTTAGTAAAAGTAACAACGAACTCATTATTAGTAGTATGATGATCCTCAAAATCTCCAAACACCGCCATAACCACTGCTATCCTCATTCGGCCTCAGGATCGACCCGCAAGAAGCCCAGACGTCGTAAGACTATCATCGTTCGCGAGGGAGACAACCTGCGCATGCGCTGTAACCCGACGGGAGAACCTCGGCCGCAGGTGGAGTGGAGTAGGGAGGACGGGGGGGTCATTCCCACGGGCCAGTGGAAGGGTAAGGCCAGATATCAAAAGATACTTACCAGAACAAATTAATAAAAGCAGATAATGGTGATAATTCGATAAGCACGCTAATATACATAATAATAACAAAAGAAAAAAAGAAAAAAGAAAAAAAAGAAAGATAACATATAAAGACATTTGTATTGCCGACGAAGTAAACTCTAATCTAAACCCTCATGTCCAACAGACAGCGGTCTTAACAGCCGGATCCTGAACTTAACGCACGTCCGCCGAGACCACACCGGAACCTACCTCTGCCAGGCTTACAACGGGGTGCCGCCCTCCGATTACAAGAGTTTCAAAGTCGAAGTTCACTGTAAGTATTCTGAATGTTAAGGAATTTTTTTTTTCTACTTAATCCTTGTCTACCTCGTAGTAAGGAATGTTATCCCCTTCAGCTGTTACTGCCTTTTTTATACAACTGATTTGCAACTGGTCATCCATCAAGGCCTTATTACGAGATATAGATACGCTGCGTTAAACACACACACACACACACACACACACACACACACACACACACACACACACACACACACACACACGCACACACGCACACACACACACACACACACACACACACACACACACACACACACACATACACACACACACACACACACACACACACACACACACACACACACACACACACACACACACACACACACACACACACATACACACACACACACACATACACACACACACACACATACACACACACACACACACACACACACACACACACACACACACATACATACATACACACACACACACACACACACACACACACACCTGTATGCTAATTCATGCAACATTCTTGCAAATCTTGCTATGATGTATTCAGCATGAATGGGCAGAAAACCAGGGTACATCTTTCATCGCGAGAAATGTATTTTATGCTGATCAGTTATGCATTAAGTCTTAAATTATAACTTTTTCCTGTAATATCTCTCGGAAGGATAGGAATATTGCACGAAAATAATGCATTTCTCTTTAAATGTTTAGATATGGCTTGTAATTTTACTTGCTAAGGAGAAAACAATTGTTGTGCTTCGGTAGGGTCTGGTTTTATTTTTATTTTGGCTGTTTGCTTTCGGAAGTAAACAAAATAAATAGATAAACATTATCTTGCAGTGTAACGTTATATTACATTTAAGCCTTTGTGCTGGCAATATAATAGAAAACATGCCACATCCACCGTGATTTGATTTTACTGGCTGCTTTTACACACAGATGGCTTCACAAGTAATTAGTCACTGGGGAGGCAATTACTGGTTCTGTCTATTTCACCTGTTTACTTTTCCCTTGATTTTCTGAAAGACTCATATTTGTCTTTTGTTATTATGAATATTTCTACTCCATTATGATAAGCATAATATCAACAACAATAGTAATATCGATACTAATGATGTTAGAAAAATAATCCCGAATATTCAAGGAATGGGGCAGTATTCACGGAGGGCTGTGCATGGGCCCGCGGCCAGAGGGTTCATTTTAGGCCCAAATCATATCAACTTCTCAGTTTTATCCAGATAACATCATTCATACTACTGTACTGTCATTCTACAGACAAATTATATCCAAAGTGTATCTGAATATGAGTGAAATAGACTTTCGAGAATTCATAAATTCCAAATCTTATAGATATTCATATACACTTATGCGTTTGTTATTTTTATGTTGTGCATTTCTTTTCACCGTTCTTGTTCAGAGAGCTATCCCCATTAGCTGTTACAGTATGATTAATAATGGCTGTAAGAGCTGATCCGCCAAGGCCTTGGTACGAAATATAGATGCGCTGCGTTAAATAAACACACACGCACACACAGACACACACACACACACACACACACACACACACACACACACACACACACACACACACACACACACACACACACACACACACACACACACACAACACACAACACACACACACACACAAATACACACACACACACACGCACGCACACATACCCTACACATAGTATATTATTGCACAAGCACATCTATTATTTTTCTCGCCAGTTGAACCGTACCTGCGCATCAGGCAGTGGAAGGTCGGTACTTACAACGGATCAAATGCCAGACTCGAGTGCGAGGTCCAGGCCTTCCCCCAGCCGGTGACCTACTGGGAGGACCAACACGGGCATATCCTCGACAACTCAAGCAAATACTCCATTGCTTATCATCCGAATCCGAATATTTTGTGGAAGGTAAGTGTGGTCGATTACCATTCTCATGTACTTTTTAAATTTTATTTTTCTAATTCATTCTTTTCTTCTGTTTATATTTACTATCCTTTTTATTGTTGTTATCTTTTATATTTATTGCCATTATTGTTCGTTATTATCATTACTGATATTGTCATTCTTATTGTTATTGTCATTATTATTGTCATTATCGTTATCATCATTATCATTATTATTATTATCGTGTCATTCTTATTGTTATTGTCATTATTATTGTCATTATCGTTATCATCATTATCATTATTATTTTTATCGTCATTATCATCGCCATTATTATTATTATCATTATCCTTATTGTTATCATTGTTATTATCATTATTACAATTACTACTGTTGTTGGTATTGCCATCATCATTATCATCATTATGATGATCATAAAAATAGTGATGATTATTGCAGTTATCATCATCACCATCACCATTATTATTGTTATTATTTTCTTTGATATTATCATCGTTACTATCATTGCTTCTATCATTATTATTATCAGTACTATTATCATCATTATCACTATTATCATTATTGCTAATATAACTATCCTCATTGTATTCATTATCATCATGATCGTTAATATCAATTCATCCTTCTTCCCATAGAGTGTGATGATCCTAAATATATCGGACATCGAGACAGCTGACTTTGGAGACTACCACTGTGTCGCCAAGAACGAACTGGCAATGATCAGAGGGCATGTGAAGTTGTATGGTAAGTGGGATTGTTAATTTTAAGTGTAAATATTGTGACAGGTATGCTCGTGCTGAGTCGTGTGTGGGGGGTGGGGTGTGTGTGTGCGTGTGTGTGTGTGTATGTGTGTGTGTGTGTGTGTGTGTATGTGTGTGTGTGTGTGTGTGTGTGTGTGTATGTGTGTGTATGTGTGTGTGTATGTGTGTTATGTGTGTGTGTGTGTGTGTGTATGTATGTGTGTGTGTGTGTGTGTGTGTGTGTGTGTGTGTGTGTGTGTGCAGAGGGGGGGTGTATTTGTGAGTGTGTGTGTATTGTCGTCACTGTTATACCAATAAAGGTAATGCTAATGATAAACAACAATAATAATAATTATTATAATCATTGTCTTTACTATCATTATCATCATTATTGTTGTTATTACATCTATTTTTATTATTGTTGTTACGAAACTCATTTACCTCTTTCTCAATATCCTTTTCCCCTTCGCATTCATTCGCAGTGTATTTACCTGCTTACTTTTCTTTTTTCATTCATTGCGCATTCACCTATTCTCTTTTACTTCTCTCCTCCTTCCTTCATGTATTTACCTGTGTATTTACTTCTCCCCCCCCTCCCCCCGCGCCGCCAGAGATCGACCCGACCCTCTACATCCCCAAGACGGGCACCGAAGACATCCTCACCTTCGGCCTCGATGCCCCAAGGTACTCGGAACTCTTCGATGACTTGTGCCCGCCCATCCAGGAGTGCCCCGAATGCCCCAAGACGCCCAAGTGTGCCGAGGGGCGTGGCACTCTCTTCGGCTTGCAGGTGGAACAGTTCGGGAACAAGACGTATCCCGGATTTAGGAACAGAACTTTCGGTGAGTAAGGAAGGTTTGGATGTCTCGTGTGGGCGGTGTGGATACGTAGGTGGATATATGTGTGTGATTATGGTTGAAGCACGATTATGGGGATTTATTAAATAATTGTTCGTTCATATACGCAAAAGATTTCAGCCACCACAAGTTACATACAAATAACCTCAAACAATTCCCCCCACTCTCTCTCTCTCTCTCTCTATTTATCTCTATCTCTATCTATCTATCTATCTTTATCTTTATCTCTCTCATTCTCTCTCTCTCTCTCTCTCTCTATCTCTCTCTCTCTCTCTCTCTCTCTCTCTCTCTCTCTCTCTATCTATCTATCTGTCTTTCTATCTATCTCTATCTCTATCTATCTATCTATCTTTATCTCTCTCATTCTCTCTCTCTCTCTCTCTCTCTCTCTCTCTCTCTCTCTCTCTCTCTCTATCTATCTATCTATCTCTATCTATCTATCTCTATCTATCTATCTATCTATCTATCTTTATCTCTCTCTCTCTCTCTCTCTCTCTCTCTCTCTCTCTCTCTCTCTCTCTCTCTCTCTCTCTCTATCTATCTATGTCTCTCTCTCTCTCTCTCTCTCTTCCTCTATCTTCCTCTATCTCCCTCTTCCTCCCTCCCTCCCTCCCTCCCTCTTTCTTTCCCTCTCCCTCTCACTCTCGCTCTCAGACTGCATGTTATCGGCGGTTGGCAAACCCGTGTACCACCGCCACACTGACTCCAACTACGGGTCGTGGATGAGGGACCCGCATCCCCGAGACACGTCACTCGAAACGAAATTCTACACGACGGATCCCACCAGCTCTTATTACCTCTATGAATTCAGCGACAAGAACCAGTACAGGAAGAATTTGCCCAGTAAGAACTACACGCTGCCTCGGCCCTTCGTGGTGAGTAAAGCATGGCCTTCAC